ACTGATCTGAGTTCATCTCCTCCCTGTTTCTCCACAGGACTCTGGAAGAGCGTGCACAGAGACTTTTTAGTACTAAAGGCAAGTCCCTGGAAGCACTGGATCCTTCCTTGTTTGCTAAGAATCCGAAGACAAAGGGAATCAAAAGGTGAGTTCTTAAAGGCAGTTCTCAGGTTGGTGCTGATCCCATCACTGGGGGATAAACATCAGCACTGTAGAGTTGTGTTAGATTCCCAGAGTGTTGGAATCCTTTTATGTTGGTCCTGAATCAAATGTGAGATATCAGAGCTGAGTAGTTTGCATGCAGTTTAGTTTATGTCAGCTGTTTCCTTCTCTTGCTGCACTGGAATCAAACGTGTCCTTAGGAGTTCACCTGTTTGGTGTTTGCAGCTCTAGAATGGGCTTAGTGAAATTTCCCTTCTCTGCTTTCAGAGACACTGAAAGAAATAAAGATCTTGCATTCCTGGAAGCTCAGATATATGAATATGTAGAAGTTCTTGGGGTAAGAATTTTATTTTGTCTTTGAGCTTTTGGTTACTCCAAAAAGTAACCTCCTCCCCTCTCCCTTTCTCTCCCCTCCCTCCCTCCCTTCCCTCCCTCCCCTCTCCCCTCCATTTCCCCTCCATCCTCCCCTCCCTCCCTTCTCCCCCATTGCCCCTCTCCCCCTTCCATTCTCCCTTCCCCCTCTCTCCCCCTCTCCCTACAGCCCCTCCTTCCCCTCCCCTCCCTCCCCTCCCTTCTCCCCTCCCCACCCAGTCCTGTCCAGCAGTGACCAGAAGATCATTCTGTTTTTACCCAGCGTCTTCATAGACTGTGTCCACAAGAACTGCTTTTCTTTCCAGAAGTTTACATGTTTCCTGTGGAGAAACTGCCTGCCTTTCTTTCTTTCTTACTCCTCCTTAATGCTTGCCTTAAATCCTTGCTTCAGTTTGGGTCCAGTGGCAGCTGCCATTGGCTTACCATCTTATTTTATTGCTGTTGTGTGAACACAGTTCCTTCTGTCCTTCTCACACTCCAGGAACAGAGACACCTCACTCATGAGAACGTGCAGCGTAAGCAGGCGCGGACAGGGGAGGAGAGGGAGGAGGAGGAAGAGGAGCAGATCAGCGAGAGCGAGAGCGAGGATGAAGAAAATGAAATCATTTATAATCCTAAAAATCTGCCCCTTGGTTGGGATGGCAAGGTAGCTGAGGCTGTTAGGTCTGGATTTAGCTCTGAACCAGTGGGGGATCCCACTTCACTCTTCTGTTTGAAGCTCCCTTGTCACTTGGCCTAATCTTTGTTTGTCTTCCCTTCTCAGCCAATCCCGTACTGGTTGTATAAATTGCATGGTTTAAACATCAACTACAACTGTGAGATCTGTGGTAACTACACCTACAGAGGGCCCAAAGCTTTTCAACGCCATTTTGCAGTAAGTGAGGTTTTGTCACAAGAGCCATCAGTGCCACATTCAGACAATCTTTATAGTAAGTGATGAGAAAATGACACGAGCATCTGAGAGGCATTTCTTCCACTTACAAAATGTGTGCCTGCACTGATGCTGCAAGGCCGTGCTATTGAAACTGGAAATTCCCCAGAGCATGCAAAGATCTGTTCTGCCAATTTATACCCAGTCTCTTGTTTGAACACCGATATCCAGGCCTGATTGATGCACAGCACTCAGTGTCTTGTTACCATCAGAAAAAAAAACAATGTTTGGGAGATCTGTGTTTTGTTAGCATTTGTTTTACACTGCTTAGCTCATCGTAGGCCTCCCAGCAGGCACTGTGGTGAGGTGCCATTCCCTCTCAGTGACTTTTGCCTCTCGTTCCCAGGAGTGGCGTCACGCTCACGGGATGAGATGCCTGGGCATTCCCAACACTGCACATTTTGCCAATGTCACACAGATTGAGGATGCTGTCTCACGTAAGTCTAGATGGCATTTCTTTGCACAGGGGCTGTGCTATGAGAACGCTGGTATTTGCCAACTGGGGCCAGGAATGTATTACCTCACAACCGGTGGCTAAGGGAGGAGTGTAAGAAGCACGATGCTGCTGGGATGACCCTTCATTGGAACATCTCTCACAGTTCTTAGAGGGAGAATGTCTTTGTTTCTTGCTGGATGCCTGCAGAAATAGATGTTTGCTAGGAATGCCAGCCAAGTGTCTGTTTGTTGCCAGCTTTTTTGTCTGCTGTGCTTTATGTATGGAATCTCAGCCAAGTGTAGCAGGCCACCATTTATTCAGAGTGTGACTGTGTGATGCCATGCAAGTGTTACTTAACTGATGCTCCTCACAATCTCCATGGGGAAGCCAGCAAAACATTCAGAAATGGTGGAGCCTCCAGGGAGGTTTTGAAAGCCTGCAGTACTCAGTGAAAGGCACAGAAGTGACACTGGTTGGGATTTATTTTATTTAATTTAATTTTTTTAAAAGCTGATGCATTTCAGTAGTTTCAAACGCAGCGTTTGAAGTGAAATGGTGTTCATGTTGTGAATGCCTTTGTATTTACAGTGTGGGCAAAGCTGAAACTACAGAAGGCTTCAGAGAGGTGGCAGCCTGATACAGAGGTAAGATGGTAGAGGCACTGGGGTGTTTCTCATCCAGTGTACTTGGGGGTCTTCATCTACCTTGCATGAAGTGGCTCTGGCTGGAGAGTTTCTAACACAAGCTGCATCACAGGCTGAGGTCTCCAGGACATTTCAGAGCCTTCTGTCATTATTCTGAGTCTAGATAAGATGGTGCTGAGCTTGCTGGTAGATGCACTGCATGTCTTCATGTAGGGAAGCTCCTGGCAGAGTGGCTGTGCTCAGATGGAACTGGAGCTAAACTGTGAATGCTGTAGCACAACCTGAATCAGGCTGCATGCAGGTGTCCCCAAACTGTTCATTCTATTCCAGGAGGAATATGAGGACTCCAGTGGGAATGTGGTGAACAAAAAGACCTACGAAGACTTGAAACGTCAGGGGCTGCTGTAACTTTTCCCAGGTGAAGGATTTCACATCAGAAAAAAGAAAAAGAAGTGTCACCAGCTCCAGTTCTTCAGCTTATTGATTTTTTTTCTACTTGCATGAACATAGGATACTTCATAGAATCGCTTTCTAGTAAGCCCTCTGTGAGAAGCAGCCTTGTGATGTTATTTTGTATTAAAAACCTTAAAAATAAATGGATTTTAACTTAGGAAGTGCTGAAAATGCGTCTCCTTTTGTATGCTGGAAGGAGGAGATTTGATACTGGTGTCTTTCAGAAACTTTCTACACGGTTTGAATTGTTAGAAACAATTACTTCTCTCTTATTCCAGTGCTGATGGAAGTTTTTATGATGAGGACTGCCTTCTTTAAAGCACACACGAGCACTGCATGCTGGCAATCTTGTACTATATAATAGTTTAATGTCTGTCTGTGCTCCTTTGCAGAGCAGATATTTGGCTTGCTTTGCTGCTTTGGCTTCAAGTCTGGCTTCCTGTGAGGCTTTGGCTACTGGGATTTTTTTCAGGGAACCAATAAATGAGCTTTGTTTAGGATGGGCTGCTGTGTGGGTAGTTTGTGTTCGTTTGTCCAGCGCTGGCATTGACTTTGGCAGATGCTAGCACGGATCCTTCCTTTGCTTCTCTTGAACTGTGGTACTGCCACACGAATTAAAGTCCATGAGGAGAAAAGAGGCGTTGGGCAGAGACCCTGTGCTTTGTGGCAGCCCTCACACTGCCTACAGTGGGCTTTCATTTTGGTATAGAAGTTCTGGTGTGACACCTCTAGCCTCAAAAATCCCTTTCTTTGTTTTTTGCTGCACACAGATGTTTGCATCTCCAAATCCAGCAGAGCTGCAGGTAACAAACCCTTCTCCCTGGGTGACGGTTTGTGCAGCTGCTGGTTGGCAGGCTGGGGCTGCTCCCTGGCACCAGGGTGTGAGCTGTGCTGCAGGCACCGCAGCTGCTCGGTGCTCAGAGGCTCTCCATCTCTTGCAGCAGCTGCAGGCTTCCTCTGGCACGCAGGGGCTTTCAGGGCACGGACACAGGGTGAGTCTGTGAGCAGATTCCTTTCCCTGCTTGGGGGGAGAAGCTTGTTTCGGGGGGAGCCTTTTCTGGTTTGACCTCAGCCTGTTGTGGAGGTGAGCCTGGCTGTGCTCTACCCTCCTCTGTAGGGCTCTCCTAACCTGCTCTGGGTGGGGGAGCTGCCCTGCTCTGGGAGGTGAGAAACTCCAGCCTGTGTTGTTTTCTGTCACTCTGAAAGAATGCCCTAGGAATGCTATCTGAGCTTAAATGCTAAGGCAGAAGGGGAGTATTCAGAAAACAGCCTTGGAACCTGTTTGGAGTTATCTCCGCTGTTTCCTTTCTTGAATTGGCAAAGATTTTGCAAGGAAAACGTCTGCTTTCATTCGATGGAGAGTAGTGTATCTCAGGAAGCACCTGAGGAGGTAGAACTTCCCCACCCACGGTGTGAGCAGTGCAGGGATCAGCATTGGGAAGCAATGCAGACGACTGGATTCAGAATTCCATGCAACAGGGATGTGTGTGCCTCCATCCTGAGCTGGGCAGCTTCTTCATTGACAGCAGCATCAGCAGTTTGCTGCGTATGGTGCCAAGCTGGCACCGCTCAGAGCTCTGTGTTACACGAGGGTGGAGGGTTACCACACCAACAGCAGCACGTGGCCTCCCAGGGGGCTCCTGTTTGGCAGGGCTGGGCTGAGCCCATGGGGAGAAGTGCTTCCAGGGTTCCTCAGTCCTTGTTCAGCCTTCTGCTGCTGCAACCGAGACTGGAAGGGCCTGGCTCTTGGTCCCTGAGGCCAAACCAGAAGGATAACTTCTGGGTGATGAGCTGATTCTGATTGCCCAGTTCTGATTGCATCTGTCTGCCAGGTCCCAGCTGAGGTTGCTGGTGGGGACGATGGCAGCTCACCGGCAGCTCCTCCCTGCTCAAGGTAATGTGTGCTCTGAGCAGAATCCATCCCAGAGCTGGTACCCCACAAACCAACCAACCCACCAACACAGAGGCTGCCAGAGCTGAACTTGGCCTTTGATGGTCCCAGTTGTCTCTGCTCTGTTTCAGGCCTGCTGCTCTCTGTCTTGGCTCTGCACTTCTGCACCCAGGGCCCTCTTGCCATAGCAGGTGAGTGCACGGGAGAGGATCCTCTTGGGAACGGGGCAAAGGGCAACTTGGTGTGATGGGACAATGTCCCTGTCCTCTCTTGGCTGTAAGCTATCAGGCAGAGCTGTGCAAAAGAAACTTTTCTTGGGGTTTTGACCCCAGAAATGGCTGTAATCTCCTATATAGTGTGCCTTGAAGGGGAAGGGAGAAGCTGCTGTAACATTTCCATAGTCAGTGATTATCTCTGTCCTGCTGGGCAGGCTCCTCACTGCTGGTTGCAAACGGGTCTTTGGTTTGGTTTGGGATAGGGAACCACAACTTGTTAAGCACATGGATGCTATTTCCTTCACCAAGGGGGAACTTTGTGTTTTTCAGGGCGCAAAGTGGTCAACATGTCCAAAACAACAGCTACCAACCACGCCTCAGTGGCTGCCACCAAAGCTTCCGTGGCTACCAAGCAGACCTTGGTGGCTGCTGCCAACACCTCAGTGGTTGTCACCAACCAGGCATTGGTGGCCACCAAGCAGAGCTCATTGGCTACCACCAGTGCCTCAGTGGCCACCTCCAACCAGGTACTGGTGGCCACCAAGCAGAGCTCAGTGGCCACCTCCAACCAGGCATTGGTGGCCACCAAGCAGAGAACAGTGGCTACCACCAGTGCCTCAATGGCTGCCTCCAACCAGGGATTGGTGGCCACCAAGCAGACCTTGATGTCTGCCACCAGTTCCTCAATGGCTGCCTCCAACCACACCTCAGTGACCACTACCTCGGTGGCCATCAGCCAGACTTCAGTGGCTGCCAACGCCTCCGTGAACCTTACAGAACAAACCCTGGTAAGGAGAGGGAAGGGGGATGCTGGCCATGCAGAAGCTCTGCTGCGCTGTGACCCCTGGCACGTCCTCCCCCCAGCTCAGCTGTCAGAGCTTCCAGTGCTTCGGGGAGAGGTGCTACCAGGATGAAGCCCACAGGAACACAACGGCCACCTGCCACAATGAGACCTTGTGTGAGGTACGGAGCTTACGGTGGCTGCTGGGGGCTGTGAGCACAACACCTGATTTTCCTTTGCCTCTCTCACAGTTTGTCCATTATTTTTGCTCCTCTGTAATTGCCTCTCTTCACACTTCTAGTGTTTGTTTGTTTTTTTTTCCCTTTGGCTCTGCTGTTGCAGCTTTATCGTTTCTCCAGCACGAACTACACTGCCAGGTGCAGCAGTGTGTGCAGGGCAGAGCTGTGCAGGACCAATGGCAGCATGGCCCTACAGCAGTGCACCGTGGAGTGCTGCAACACCTCACTCTGCCTGCAGCTCAATGCCAGCTCCTATGGTAACTGCTCTGTGGTTTATCCCACTGCATGCGAGAGAAATGGGTGTGCAGACCCATCGTGTTGGGCTGGCTGCATCGCTGCAGTTCCTCTGCCCCACGGAGGCCACACGTGGGCTGTGTCCTCAGGGCTCCTCTGTGCCCACAGGTGATCTGCCCCCCACCACTGTGCCACCCACGACCACCATCACCACCACCACGACCCTGCGGCCCCCCCCACGAAACGTAGGTACCCGATGTGATCTCTGTGCAAAAGCTGCCTCGAAAGGGGAGCAAATCCTTAATGAGCTTTGCAAGGACAGAGATGTAAGGGTGCTAAGCAATGCACCATCTGCATTGCTCCAAGTGGCCTGAGCTGGCTGTGGGACAAAGTTTCTTCGAGCCACAGAAGGGGTGGGGTGATGCTGGGGCACCCAAGTGATGGGCTGGAAGGAGCTTTATCTCTGCCCAGCCTCACTGGGAGGAAGGAAAAGGAGGTTTGAAACTTGTGGTGGTGTTGCAGTGAGGTTTCGTGCAGTGGCAGATAGGAGCTGTCTCTTATCTCTGAGTGTGAAATGCCAGAGACAGATGATGGCAAAAGCTGAGATGCAGTGGAGGTTTGGGAGGGCACTGTGGAAGGAAGGGCTGCCCGAGGTGCAGATCTGGCCCTGGGCATCCTGCTGCCTGCACCACACTTGCACAGGTCTCCTCTGGTCTTGTCTTGCAGGGGAAAATCTGTGCAGCGTTCTCCTGCCATGGGGATGGATGCTTCAAAGGCAAGAAGAGCACGACTAGATGCTTTGTTGGGCATGATTTCTGTGAGGTATGGCTGGGACAGGACAGGGGGGATGTGCTGCAGTCTGTGTGCATCCCCTCAATGCAAATGCCAGAGACTGAGCAGGACCAGCAGATGAATCTCTCTCCTCCTTCCAGATGAAGAAGACGGGCTTCAATTACGTGGCAGGATGCAGCAAAGCCTGCAAGGCTGCCAAGCCTGTCTGTGCCCAGGGGGTGAAGGCTGCCTGCTTCCAGGAGTGCTGCCCCGCCACCCTCAAGGGCAGCTGCCTGAAGCTGGATGGCAAAGTTCATGTGAACGGTGCTGGGCAGGTGGCTGTGTCCCCACTGCTGCAGCTCCTGGTGTGGGGGGCAGCCCTCCTCCTGAGCTGCAAGGTCTCCACTCCCCTACACGGGTAAACAGCAGACCTGCAGCCTTTCCCCTCCTTGATTTCAGCTGAGGTCACTATCAAACACCCTGTGTTGCATCCCCATGCTTGTAGATCCCTGGAGTTTGTAGATGGTGACTTCTCCCCCCATGTAGGTGATCCCCATTACATGTCATCTCCAGGAGCTGTGAGCTGCAGCATTGCACCTCTGCTGCAGCTGCAGGGATGGTGGATGCTGGAAGGAGAGACCTCAGGTATAGGAGTGAGAGGATGCTGAGCCAGCTTGGAACCCAGGAACCTCTGCCTTGACCCAAGGCACAGCTTACACAATGTAGTTACAGGCATCACAGGCAGCTGGTAACGGCTCTGTGGTGCCACTGCACAAACACATTCTGTCCTCTTCCTGTTCTCTTTTAAGAAAATAATAAAATAATAACAATAATAAAGAAGCATCAGTCCCTTGAGTCAATGTCAGGCTGCTTTGGGCACAGCTCAGCTCGATGGATGCGATGGGAAGGGGATCCCAGCCATAGGGCTGTGCTGGGTCAGCAGCAGGAAGGATGGCTTTGCTGGGAGCTCCATGCAGTGGATGTGGGGCTGAGGGCAGGCAGTGTGCAGCCATCACCAGCCCCTCCACGCTGCAGTGATGCTGCACCAAAGCCATGCCACAGCCTGGGCCGCGTTGTCACATCAATGTATCAGCAGAAAGTGACAACAGGACGGAGCTCTATGATATTCCTGTTTCAGAACCGACTCGCAGCACCACGTTTCTTGCAGGAGCGCTCTGGAGTTTGTAGCTGATATTTCTCACTGTTCTCCTTTCATTTCCTCTTTGCAGTCTTTTATCTGCTCAGCACCGTTGCCGATAAGGGAGCAGAAAGCACGGGCTGCTGCTTTTTCCGTATCTGCCCGACTTTTGCTGTTACTTACAGCGGAAAGAGCTGAGTCACCGAGCTCCCCTGTTGGGCACGTCAGCGCCTGCTGACATTTCCCAGCACCTGCTTTCACCCTTTGCACCAGTTCTTTGCATAATTAAAGCTCGGAAGTCAGCTGGGTCACGACATTTAACAAAACATTCCAGGTGCTACCGCAAAAAAGAGCCCTTCCTGATGGCAGTAGGAAGTTAGCGGCTCTGCATTGCCGCAGGCCCGGCTCTGTACACGCAGTACCCTCAGCGTGAGGACGCTCCGTGCCCCCCCTCGCCCGTACTCCGCTTCTGCTCAGCCTTTCTCGCCGCTCTCCCGGCTCTCCGCCCCATTAACCAAGCAGCATCCCGTTTAAAAATCCTTCCCGGTCCCATCCAGCGGAGAGGGAAATGATGCTCGGTCGCTTCCTGGCGCTTTGCGAGCCTCTGTCCGGGCGGAGGGCGGCGGTTCCGGCCGCGGTGAGGAGCCCCAGCAGCGGCTGCCGAAGCCCGGAGATCCTCGCGGGGCCGCACCGGCGCAGCTCCGTCCCTGCGGCCGGAGCCGAAGGGTTAAGGGAGCCCTGGGGCAGGCCGGGAGCGCGGGGCGGGGAGAGGGGCGACGGGGCGGCGGCGGCTCCCGGCAACGGCGACACCGAGCGCGGCCGCATCGCGGACCCGACCCCCATCCCCGTCCCGACCCCCATCCCGGTCCCCCCGAGCTCCACGCTGACCGCCGGCCCGGAGGATGGACCAGTCGGTGGCCATCCAGGAGACGCTTCTCGATGGGGCGACGTGTCGAATCATATCCTTTGCCCCGTGCGCGTCCAGGGAAGGGCTGGCGAGTTCGCTCTTTTTCTCTTCCCTTTCTGACCCCTCGACTCCCATCTCGGTTTGCCGTTCCTTGACCCACGCCGCACGCCGTGCAAGGAGCCGTGGCTGCGGGGCAGAGCGTGGAGAGCCGGCTGCTGGGCCTGGTGGAGCGCGGCGGGCAGCACGCGTGGGTGCCGAGATGGGGCAAAGCGGGCTTGTGCTTGGGGAGGGGGAGGGATTTGTGTGGGGTGGGATCTGCCCGGATCGAGGCATTCCCTCCGCCTCTGCTCTGTGTTCGCAGGATCTACGTTTACACCCACCGGCGGATGGCCATCGCTGCGGAGGACGTGTGGCTGGAGAGGGTTATCCCCATCTCAGAGGGGTTTGCAGTGGAAGAAGGTATTCACGCGCTTCGGGGCTCAGTGGCCACCTCCAGAGGAGGGGATGGAGGGATGTGGAGTCTGTATTTCGTTGTTTACTTGCTGTGCTTTGGGATCTACTCAGCCCGTCACGTTTTCTCATCAGTTTGTAATCCTTGGTGAAGCTGATGCATCTCATGGCCCAGCTGAAGGGCTCTGCTTTATCAATCCTGCAATCCAGAGCAGCACTCTGGGCTCCTGCAGGGCTGCACTGCCCACCCTTGTGCCTTCAGGGAGCAGATAGACAGAATCTGAAGGCTGTGCTCAGTAATCCGACCTCAAAGTGTTAAATCAAATGCTACAGTCCTGTTACTCAGCTTTGTAACGGCACTTTTGTTTCTGTTTGCAGTGATACCTGATGGTGACCTTCACGTCATTGGTGAGTTTTGCTGTTGCTGTTACGCCTGTACTGCTGCAGCCACTGAATCATAGAATCACAGAATGGTTTGAGTTGAAAGGGACCCTTGAAGGACATCTGGTCCAACTCTACAGCCCAGGACACCCACAGCCCAGCCAGCCTTCTCCTGGTCTGTTGTCACCAGCCTGGCTTTGTTGCTCATTAAGGGGTGGTTCACCCTCCTGGACTTTCCTTTCCCAGTTGCTGTACCTATTGAAACCCATCTTATCCTTCTTTGTGACCCTTGCCAGTTCCTGCTCAGTTCCAGCTGAGTCTTGGTCTTTCTGAACCCCCCCCCCCCCCCATGCAGCCTGGCAGCATTTTGTGCTCCTCCCAGGGTACCCGTCCCTGTTTCCATCGTGTTCCCAGAAACAAAACACATTTCAGAGAGTGATTTTTGCATTTTTTTAATTACATCCTCACGCAAAATGTGAAAGTGAAATGGTAAGACCTGGGCAAACCTGCTGATGAAAGCCTGCAGAGGCATGCTTAGCTGCAGGGAGCAGAGATGGGGCTGTTCCTGAGCAACGGGCAGCACTGATGCATGCTCCTCTCCTCCTCCTGGTGTCACAGGTTCAGATGTGACCGTTCGGATCCGCTCCCAAGGCGATGGGCTCACAGTGCAGCTGCCTTTTGGTTCACACACCCGCACGTTCCTGCAGGAGGTCAGCAAGTGCAGCACAGGTACGTGTGAACACCTTCCTGGAGGTGTTCGAGGCCAGGTTGGATGGGGCCCTGGGCTGCCTGGTCTAGCATTAAATGGGGAGGTTGGTGGCCCTGCATGTGGCAGGGGGGTTGGAGATTCGTGATCCTTGAGGTCCCTTCCAACCCTGGCCATTCTGTGATCCTGTGTGCTCAGTGGTAGGGATGCAGGAGCCCAGGCTGCATTTGTGCTCACTGCTGAACCTCACGCACAGCAGCGATGCTTTGTGTCACCGTTCTGCAGCACCAGGGGGCTCAGCAGAGGGGAGCAGCACGTGGAGGCAGCGCTGTGATACACACCTGCGTGCTGTGCAGTCAGAAGGCCAAACGGAGATTTGCTCTGCGTATTCCGGTAGACCACAAGCAGAAAGCTGTCTCCTCCCACACTCTGTGCTCGCCCTGTGCTCTCATTTCCTCGGTACCGGCAGCAACCCGATGCTCTTCCCATCACGGATCCCTCTGGGTTTCTTTTTGGGGGGGATGGAAGCCTGCTGCACGCTGCTGCTGTCCCAAAGACTTCGTGCTGCGGTCAGGGCCTCAGGGCCGGCCCCGGCTCCTGCGTGGGGCGGGAGGGACGGACAGCCGTCCTCCGGCGGGCGGAGCGAGCGGAGCGGGGCCGGGGCGGAGCGGGACCGGGGCGGCCGGGTGCCGCGATGTCGGCGGGCGGGCGGCCCCGCCAAGGTGAGCGCTTAGGGGGCACCGCAGGGAACTGCAGGGGCCGGGATTCGAGGTCCGTCCCGTCCCGTCGGAGCCGCCGCGCTCGGGCCGGTGACGGTGCTCAACCCGCGACGACGTTGAGTCCGAGCGATGGGAGCCTGATGGTTTGAGGGAGGGAGGGTCAGGAGGGGTCCGGGCGCTTGCTTAGTGCGTGGTCGTGCTTTGGGGACGGCACGCTGTCCGCTCGATGCCGTGGAAGCTCTCCCTGCTGCCCCGAGGGCTGCGGTGAGGGGCGGAGGGTTCGATCCGAGCAGCGGCGGCTCAGCCCGCGCTCCTGGGCACGGCGGGGGGGAGATCGGCAGCGGTGGGACCCCGAGGGCCGCGTTGCTGGCCTGGATTCCGGGCTGCGCTTTCCTCGATGGTGAATCCGGTGTCGGTTTTCATGTGCTGTGGCTGCGACCTTTCAGCTGTTCTCGGCCCGGCTGTGGGGCCGCCCCGTGTTGTGCCGTGCCGTGCTTTGCTGTTCGCCTTTTCCCCTCCTGCTCCCAGGAGCTGCTGCTGTGCGAAGGGAGAGAGTGAGAAAGCGCAGAGAGCGGAGTGACGCCGGCGCTCGGCGTGGCGTTCAAAATAGAGGTCAATCCATTTCTGCTTTACCTGCCTTTGGCTGGGCTGTTGCTGCCATTCCTCCTCTCTGTTCTCTGCCGGGAAGAGGTGAACTCTGCAATTCAGACGTGAGACAGCGGCACAAAATGCACTGAGCTTTGGATGGGGGAACATCTGTCCAGCTGTGCTGTTTAACACGGGGCTTCAGAGCAACTGGGAAGGACCTGCATGTGTGCTTAGGAGGAAAAGCACTGAGCTGCACCGGAGCCGGGTGCTGTGCTGGGATGTTTTTGTTGCACCTGGAGCGCAGCAGTGCCCTTTGCATTGTGAGCTCGTTGGGAAGCAGCTCTCCTATGAAACTCTGCCTCTGAGCTGTGACAAAATCGCCTTCTCAAGGTTTTGTTGTGTGTTTCTTCAGGCTGAGTTGTTCAGGGATCTCTCTTTACTTTTATTCCCTCTTAGAAGAAGAAAGCACCGTCACACAAAGTCTTTGGGGACAGAAAGTAATACAGAGTGAGGGTTTCTCTGCTGTTGCCCATAATATCTCCCACTCTGTCATTACGGGATCATGAGCACTGAGCAAGAGACTCCCATATGCAAAAGCACATTTATATAGTGTGCAAACGCTGCCATTTGCTGATAGAGCACTGCTGGTTCCTTCTGTCTTGTGTGGATTAAGGCTGGTGAATGCATCAGGGGATCTGGGAAGGGATTTTAATGGGCTTTAGCTTCTGTGGTCATTGTTCCCAATTTGAGTTAGAGGCCCCTTATCTAGAGCCCTGCGTGTGTGTGCAGACTCGGCCTGTGTGCTCCTGTGCAGGGAGGGGTGGGCTGGATGCCCTGCTGCAAGCAATGCATGGCACAGGTAGTTCTCCCTTCTGGGTGCTGAGCTGGATCTGGCTTTATCTGAAGGTAGGATACACC